TGGGAGCCTGAGCCATCCCCTTAGTGGGAACCTTGGCCTGACAATATTTCCCTGAGGAAGGCCTCAGAACTTGAAAGCTGATCTCAGACCAGCTGTGTCCCTTAGGTGAACCTCACACTTGTACACCGTGTCTCTTGGGAGCCTGGCCTCCCCCCTTCTTTTGCCATCTAGGAGAACCCAGCCCTGCAGATAGAGTCTGCTTCTCAGTCTCAGGTCCAGGTGAACACCTCCCCTGTAAGGGCTTCTTCATGCTTAGGCTGGCCCTGCTTGCTAACACTTGTTCCCAAACAGTCTCATCTACAGTTAAGCCCTGCCCTTAGTGAGAATTGGGGTGACTGGTTCAGGTAAACTCTGCCAGAGGAACCATATGCATGGGTAAGTTCACTCCCATAGGGAGTTGCCCCAGGGGTACTTGACACGTACTTCATGAGCAGAGCAACGGTTGCCGTCTGTTGACCCTGGCCTTGCTGGCTACCATGCTTGCCCTGGTGCACTTAAATTCACATCCTGAAATCTTTATCCCAGCCCCAGCAGTGCGTCGCTCCCATTCCATAAATGGGGTTCATGAGATGGGAATATGAGAAGGCCTCTCACCAGGAGCTCTCTACAGAAAGCTGGAGTCTTGCCAAGCCCATGTCTGGACCTCAAACTGACCAAGGCTATGTGTTGTTTCTAGAATAAGGCAGGGTGAGATAATGTGAGAAAGACTGACAGACTGGGCCTGCAGGGTAGGTGGCAGGTCCTTATCCGGACATCATAGCAGTGCTGAAACCTTTTGCACATTTATAGGTAAATACCAAGGCTAAAGGCCTCTACCCACCTTTGTCTAGTCTCTAGAATTGCCCCAGAGTTTCAGTTTTGTAGACTTACACTAGGCAGCCTGGCCGCTAGCTTAAAACAGTCAAATGCAGGCACGTTCTGCCACCTTGAGGCCACAGTGGGCATAACAAGAGCCGCCTGCTTGCCACAAATTTTACTAGGTCTCCCAAAGGTGGGAGTTCTCCCTTTGCTTGGAGCCCCCACCCCCTTGCCCAGGCTGGCGGTGCTTCCCCTTCCCCTGCCACTGAATGATCTTGGATAGTCTTCTCCCTTCTGGCCTCAGTTCCCCAGGCTAAACAATGGATGGGCTGAGCCTTGTCCCCCTCTGTCACCCAGGAGTCTGGACCGTTTGGATTCAGTGGACATGCTGCTGCCTTCCAAGTGCCCCAGCTGGGAAGAGGACTACAACCCCATCAGTGACAGCCTCAATGACTCCAGCTGTATCAGCCAGGTAGGGGTGACTAAGAGGGCAGGAGACTTGGCGCCTTGTTGTCCTCTGTCCAGAGCGCTGTGCTGTCCACAGACCCTGATTTCCAGCGTCATTGCCTGGAATCATCTTGGTTTACTAACTTGTATGTCATTCTGCCTCGTGAGACCAGGGGTCTCTTTACATACTGTCTTGTTCCCTGTACATCTCCATCACCTCGCCCAGCACTCAGCCAGGCAGAGGCTTACTGTGTGCTTTCTTAGTAGGCATGTCATGCCTTGGCTTACCCATCTTACCTGCTCTCTCCTCTCCCGGTCTCCCTGTGTCTGCCCTATCCCATTTCTCTCTCTCCCTCTTCCCTCCTTCCCCTGCATCCCTGCCTTTTATCCCCTCGTTCACTACGTTTTTCCCTAGGTCTCCTTGTGTCTCCTCCATAGTTCCATTTTTCACATATCCTTTCTCCATCCTTGCCTGCCCAGGTACCCGGAAAACCTTTACCTTTAGTTATACAGAAAGATAATTGAATCTGCCATATTGGGGGTTCCCACAGACTTCACCCACTGTTCCATGTCCTGCCCAAGTTCTCTTCTAATTCAGGACTTTTTCCTTCCCACAAACTTCACCCCTAAAAGGTTGAATGTCATAAGCTGTATAGGCAGCCACAAAGTTACATACAACCCAGAAAAAGAAGGGCCTGGGTATTGTCTCTGATCTGTGCTCTGGCTAAGCTGCTTGCCCAGGTGAAAAGTGGCAGACAGCGCACCCATGGAACCAGGAAGAACAGAGAGTGCACATCCTCGGTGATGCCAGCCCCAGAAGTGAGCTTCCCATCCCCTAGGGAGCCAAGCAACCTCTCTGAACCAGAATCCAGCTTGGGTGGGGAGGAGTCTGAGAAGCCCAGACCAGGCCTGGCCTTCCTGCAACCCACACCCTCTTTCTCCTGCAGGTTTTTGGACAGGCTTCCCTGATCCCCCAGCTGTTTGGCCATGATCAACAGGTCAGTATGTTGCCACTCTCTTGTGTTCAGGGTTGGGTCTTAGGCCTCCAGCCTGGATAGGTCCAAGCAGAGCTGTTATTAGAAAGGCATCCCCAGTGAGGATGGAGTTGAGGTGCACAGTGGGGTCCTGACTCTCACTGTGGCTTAGTTTGTCCTGAAAACAGGGAACACATGAGCCAGGCTCTCCGGGCAGACAAGAAGCCATTGCGGGGCAATGGAGCTTCTCCCAAACGCCTTCTGCCTCCCCCTGAAGCTGGGTCAGACCAGGAAGATTTTTGTTTGGACAGGTTAGGGGTTGTGAGGCGTTCTCTGCCAGGTCCCGGATCCCCTAGTTTTCCCCTTTCCAGAGCCCCAGCAGGACCTTTTAGGACGTGGGGGTGTTGAAGTGAATGTGGAGACTTTTTAAAAATAATTTATTGAACTTTATGTGCATTGGTATGAAGGTCTCATATGAGATCCTCTGGAAGTGGAGTTACAGACAGTTGTGAGCTGCCATGTGGGTGCTGGGAATTGAACCCAGGTCCTCTGGAAGAATGGCCAGTGCTCTTAACCACTGAGCCATCTCCAGCCCCCAGTCTGCTACTCTTTAAGGACTGCCCTGTAGGCCAGGCAATTCCTCCATCCTGCGACTTTCATAGGTGTATGGCAAGCATCTGGCATTAACATACAAAGCCCCACAACAAAGCCTGTACACAGGAAGCATTCAGAGAGCCTCACACAGACTACCTGACAGCTCCTAACAGTTTGGGAACATCTGACCAAACAGTTATAAACACTTGTTCATTCCACACAACCGCCTGAATTATCGGGTACATGTGACCAGTGACTCTGACCCTGCTCAGATGATGAGTTAGCTCATATAATCTTGATTTTGAGCAGGGTTTCATATTTCAGACTGGCCTTAACCTTCCAGTGTAGCCCACCTATGCTTAAAATCCTTATCCTCCTGCCTCTGCATTCCAAGGACTGAGATGGGTAGCTGCAGCCAGCTCTCATCTGTCTGCTTTCCAAGTTTCTTCCATTAGGGCATAGTTCCAAAGCAAGACCTTGTTGCCCTGAGCAGTCACAGAGGCTCTCAAAATACCTCAGTTTGCAATGCAGCTCTGAAAGATACCCGATGCTTTCATGTCCTCTGTAGGTATATCTGGGGTATGCCCGGTGGCCTGATTTTAACTCAGCAGACTATCCAAGAAAACTTCCTGCAGTGGTGGCCAAATGTTCTACAATCCATGTTTGTCCATGTGCCTTTTGACCCAGTGAAATATGGCTACTATGGCTACCAAACTTTATTCAGTTCTAATTGATTTAAACCTAAATGGCATAGTCATATGTGGCTCATAGCTACCATGTTGGAAATCACAGGTTCAGACCTTTCCAGGCATCTTAATTTGCGTGACAGGCGATCTAAGCATTTGACCTAAAGGATCCACAGATCATTAATTACCCTAGCCGGTTCATTTCATGCAGACAAGGAGAGAACTTAGAGGGCACAGGGCTGCTGGGTGAAGCCGGCCCAGATCCACCTTTCTTCCACAGGATACTCAGTCCACAGTGCTTCCTCCTCTAGCTACGGGTCCCCCAGACTTCACCTGCTGTCCATTGGCGGCCAGCTGACTCTAGTTTATGCTGCATGGTCCCTGCCAACATAGCCTGAAATTGGAGTCAGTAAGCCCTGCCAGAATCTTCAGAGTGCTATGTGTGGTGAGGCCCCTCTGTGCCACACCTCTAGCTTCCAATTTGCAGGATCCTGGGTGACCATCTCTGGAGGGATGCTTAGGAACTGTGTAGATGAGGCTGAAGTATATTTGAGATGGCAAATATACCCATTTTCCCCATTGTCCTGGCAGACATCAGTTGTCCTCACTGCCACTACCCTCATTCTGATCTATCTTTTTTCACAAGCTATTGCCTCAGCTCATCTCTAGCCTCTGCCTCCTCTCCAGACCTCCTCCCCATACCACAGCATCCACTAGATTACTATCCCTTACATATGTAGCTGCAGTGCTGGCTCGGCTTTTCCCTCACCAGGTACCCTTGACAAATATCTTCCTTTTACTAGCCCTTGAGGGTTTGTTTGGTTTTGGGTTTTTTGTTGCTGCTGCTGCTGCCATGTTTTTGCTTATAGAAGTTAGTAGACCATACAGTGGTAAATATCCACCACACCTAATAAGACTCCCATTCCAACATTCAGGGCAGACATTACTAATGGATCGCAGCCTCCTTTCCTACTGAATTCAGATGTAATCATAAACTCTTTTGGTAGATTAGTACAGACAAGATATAATCTTGTTAACATCCTGTAATATTCATTGTAGATGGGAAAACTGAGGCCCACAGAGATAAGGGGGCTGTTTACTTAGGAGCCTATCTGCACTGGGTGAGGTGGAAGGAGGAGAGACAGGCCAAGAAGGGCCAGGCAGGGAAAACCTCCAGCCCTGAAGCTAGTAGACCAGCAAGGACTGGCAAAGCTGGCCTCTGATGCCTGCCTCTGTCTGGACAGGTTCGGGAGGCCGATCTGAGTGATCAGTACGAGGCAGCGTGTGAGTCGGCCTGCAGCGAAGCTGAGTCCACGGCAGCAGAGGCGCTTGATTTGCCACTGCCTAGCTACTTCCGCTCGCGCAGCCACAGCTACCTGAGAGCCATCCAGGCAGGCTGCTCGCAGGAGGAGGACAGTGTCTCCCTGCAGTCCCTCTCCCCACCGCCCAGCACCGGCAGCCTCAGCAACAGCCGCACGCTTCCGAGTGAGTACAGCAATGCTGAAGGATTAATATTTTGTTCTATTTTGTACTGTTTACAAGGAAAACATGGGAAGTGTTCAGGTGGGCAGCCTGGGGAGATGCTGGGGAGGAAACCATAGGTCACCCCCCCCAAAAAAATGGTGGAGAACAAAAGTGGCCTTGAAGCCTAAACAGGTGGCAGAAACAGACTGTCCAATGGGAAGATAATGGAGAGGTCTGGAACTCTGGGATCCCTGGCTGCTTTCTGCATAGAGCAGCCTCCTGCTGGTAGGTGAGGTTTACCAAAAGGAAAATACCACTTGGGATTAGCTGTGCAGACAGAGCTCTAGGGAAGGCGGGCACCTTCGGGGAAGGCAAGAAGAGCATAATGAAGGGTTAAATCCGCTTCCCGCCTTCCGGGGGGGGGGGGGTGAGTTCATCTCTCAGATTCACAGTCAGGATGGCCTGGCCTTCTTCAGATTGTTTGGACTTCTCTAAAGATGAGAATAATAGGAAGTCAGACCAAGAGAAAGCACAGTACAAAGTCTGGGATAGTTGAGACGACCTTCAGTTTACTCTTCTAGCCCTTCCTAGACCCCATTTCCCCATCTCTAAGGCAGACCCTAGAGAGCCCTGGGGTACTGAAGACTGTGTAGGAAGCGCACCTGCCATACTCTCACCAGGCACAGACCCTAACTAAACACCATCTGCTGGGGTGTGGCAGGCAATACTGTCCCAGCTGCTTCCCAGCCTCGACTCTGCCCCTGTGTAATAGGCAGGGCAGTGGGGCTGCACTGAGGAAGAAAGGATGGCTGCTTCAGTGCTCAGCTGCTGTGTGTTCTCACTAAGTGAACCCGAGGCCCACAGATGTACCCAGTAAGCAACGTGCTGATTAAATGAACTGGTCTTTTCAGGTGTCAGAGCAGAAACAGTCCCTCCTCATCTCCCATCATCCTCTGCAGCTGTCCCATCCCACCTACTGGGTATCCAACAGCAGATCCCTAGACTCTGGCCACTTTTACAACTGAAGAAAGAGTCTTGTTTTTAGATATTAGGGATCCAGTCTAGTCTACTCTCAGAACTTCAGACCAATTTGCCCAAATCTCATGCAGCTGCACCGGGCTCCTGCCATAGCTGGGAAACCCTGGTGGGGAGCTAGGTGTCGTGGCTGGTGTCTTCTCTGGATCTTGCTCACTGTTGTTGTTGCTGGTTCTCCTGCTTCCGGGACTCTGAACAACTGAAGCCATAGTCTGATCTTTTGTCCTGTCTGGAAGGGACTTCCTGGTGCCTTCTTTCTTGGCATGAGCAATGCTGCTTCCTACTCCCCTCAGCTTCTCCATTTGGTAGTCCTTCATCCCCACTTAGCCTTTTTGCTGGGCAGTTTGTCCTAGGACAGAGTCCTCTAAAGACAGTTGCAGACCCACCCCCACCCCATGACATTTAACCTGTTGGCAAAGCAGCACAGTTGGCTGTTGGAGTGTGGAGTATGGAAACGCCCCGCTCGAGTGCCTTCTTCCAGACCTGCTGTCATGCAGGCAGACCAGCTTCCCACTTTAGAAGTCCTCCAGCTGGAGTGGAGGCTGTCATTCTATGGCTTTGGGATTCTTGGATCTGGAATCCAGGGAGCTCTACCAGGCTGTCCCAGAACTCTGCTGCAGTTCCATGGGAGTCTCAGGTAAGGATCATACTCTCTACATTCTCGTGCCCCTTGAGAAGTTCTTAATGAATGAGATGGGCTTGGAAGAACACACAGCATCCACAGAAGTTCACTGCAAATAAACCCCCACTCACCAGTTTCCTCCAGCCCCCATTACTCATGAGTGAATGGATCAAAGATGCGTGAGTGCTACACATCCCAGAACCAGGTGGGCCCCTCCCTCGGTGGCTTAGCTCCTGCTTCAGTAGCACTGTACGGCAAACACAACAAAGGACATCCCCAGGTTTGTCAGGAGATTCTCCTGAGACCAGAAGTCCTCCTGAGATCAGTGGTCTAAGCTAGGATGTGTTCATCTCTTGAAGGGGGCAGAAGGCAAGAGAGCAAGCCTAACTACAGTACGAGTACATTCAAGGCCCAGCATCCATTGGCTAAAGCAGGTTGCATAACTGAGCTCTCAGTCAAGGGTGAGGACCCCCTCACTACTGTAGAGAAGACCGTGTCCCTACGGCAAAGCGTGTGAACATAGAGGGGGTGAAGGATTGGTGGTAATAATTCAGTCTCTATTCCTCGCGTGAATTCATGCCTCTCTCAAGGTCTCCCAAATGCTTCATACAGGCACAGTGCCGAGATCTGTGATTTGTGCCCAATCTTGTAGCCCCTCAGCACCTGTGATCTAAACTTACCCATGCTACCCTCCCTGGAGCACAACACCCTCTTCCCCAATGAAAACTTGACTTAGCAAAATAAGGCCAGGCTGACTGCCACTCATACTCTGTTCAGAAAGGAGAGACAGGGATTCAGAGACTTGCTGACTCAGGGTGAAATCCTTCTGGTCAACCTGATGGCACATACTTTGAGATAGGTGAATATTCCTGGAAACTTTCTACACTGAGAATATGAGCTCTGGGCTTCAGCCTGCTTCCCCCTAGGAACAATAGGAGGGTACATCTACTTTAGCTGAAGCTGATTGGCCTAGCCCAGACATATTTAATTTAATTTAATTAATTCAGTTTAACTCCATGTAACCGTGCCAAAGTCATATCCACAGCCATATTTGAGTTAGGTCTCTATTTAATTATTCATACTTTGGCCACACCAAGCTTCTGTGGAACCACCCACTGAGCTTTCTGATGGCTCCTTTGACCACCCAAGATGTTTTTATTTATGTGTCTGTGTGTCTGTGTGTATGTATGCCAGCTTTTCAGTATATGTACATGCATACAGGTAGCCATAATGGCCCGAAGTGTATGTGAGTATGTCAGATCCCTTGGAACTGGAGTTACAGCCAGCTGTGAGTTACCCAATGTGGACACTAGGAACCAAACCCCATCCTCTATAAGAATAGCAAGTGCTTTTTTTTTTTTTAAGACAGGGTCTTTATTATGTAGCCCTGGCTAGCCTGAAACTCTATAGAGAGTAGACTGGCTTTGAACTCACAGAGATCAGCCTGCCTCTGCCTCTGAGTGCTGAGATTAAAGACCTGCACCACTGCACCCAGCCTGTGTGGTATTTTAACAGGCAGTGACTTTGGTTTGATCTTTATCCCAGGCTATATCTTAATTTGAGAATGATCTACTGGCTGGCGACTGAAGTTGACAGATTTATTTTCCAGCTCAGCAAGTTCTAGGCTCTTCCTATTTCCCCTAAGTATCCCTGACAGATTGGCTGTTTCTTTTGTGAGGTCTTCTCTCTTTTAAGTCCTCATCCAAAGGAGCCAGCTCTTGCCCAAGTATATCTGCTCACTTAAGTCACTGTATGTGAAGTTCACGGAGAGGTCTGATGCACACAGAACCCAGGAATCTTTTTCAAGCCTCCTCTAAGAGTTTGCTTGTTATTTCCTCTTGCTTGGTCCTAGAGACGCTGTGATATATCTTAGTTATTATTGCAGTCACACTCTCGACTTTATGTACCACCTCAGTGCTGCTGCGGAACAAACAGTGGGGAACAACAGTACCTACTGATTCATGAGCTTGCAGGTCAGCTGGCTTGACTCCCTGGGCCCAAAGGCTGTTCAGGAGTCAGTGTCCCAACCAGGCCATGTTCTTCCCATGGAGGTGATGGAAGGCTAGGAAGACAAACTCATTTTGTAACACATTCAGGTCTCTTGGTTTCACATCTACAAATAACCAGCTGATCAAAGCGAGTCATTAATCCAAAGCTGATGCTCAGAGCTTTTGTGAGCTATAGCTAAGGGTATGATTACAAAGAACTGAGAACTGAGATCATCGATTCAATCTCAGTTCCAGTATCTCCATCCATCTATCCATTTATCTATCTAGTATGACAGTGGGTTTGGCAGGGTGACTCAGTTGGCAAAGTGCCAGCAGTAGTGAGTACGAGGACCTAAGTTGATCACCAGTACCATGGGAGAGGGGAAGCCAGGTGTGGTAATATGCCTATCTTAGTGTTTTATTGCTGCGACAAGACACCATGACCAAAACGACTCTTTTTTCGGGAGATGGGTCTTAACAGGGTTTCTTTGTATAGCCCTGACTGTCCTGGAACTCATGAACTAACTAACTCAGAGATCTGCCTGCCTCTCTCTGCCTCCCAAGTGCAGGCATTTAAGGTGTGCACCACCACCATCTGGCTCAAGATGACTCTTACAAAGGAAAACATTTAATTGGGTTTTATTTACAGTTTTTGAGGCTTAGTCCATTATCACCATGGTTGGAAGCATAGTGGCACAAAGGTAGGCATGGTGCTGCAGAAGAAGCCGAGAGCTTTACATCCTGACCCTCAGGCAGCAGTCAGAGAGAGACAGAGAGAGACAGAGACAGACAGACAGACAGACAGACAGAGGTGCAGACAGACAAACACATTTGAAACCCCAGTGACACACTTCCTCCAACAAGGCCACACCGTCTAATACTTGTAACCCTTCTCTAACAGTTCACCAACTAGGAACCAAGTATGCAAATATATGAGCCTATGAGGACCATTCTTGTTCAAACCACACAGCCTTTAATCCTAGCACTGAGGAGACAAAGATAGTGGATCCCTCACCAGTCAGCCAGCCTCACCAAATTGGTGAGTTTCTCAAAAATAAGGTAGAGACTGAAAATGACACCCAACATATACACATTCACCCTCATGTACATGTTCACACACATGAATAAATGTGTGCACACACACAAAGATCTGAAGACACATATATACTGGTACTCACACATTTACATGTGTACACCTAATTCAATATACCCCTGCACACAGAGTACATGCCTGTGTGTCTCCATCAACGCTCACCCACACACACCTGTAGGGAAGCCTACCTTAGTAGACTGGCACCCCAAGTTTTCCCATTTGCCTTCACTGTAGGTCCCACAGTGACTGCCACATACCTGCTCCTGTTAGCCCTCTGCTTCTCTCTTGCTCAGCAGGTAAACTCATCTGCCACCTAGGAAAACGAAAACCACCAAATTTTCAGGTCTCTGGCCAGAGCTGCAGCTGGTCCATGTGGTAGTTTTGTGCTAAGTTAGGAAAGGGTACTGCTCCTCACAACCCTTCACTTGCTTCTACTCAAGTCACATGATGCAGTTTCTACTACGATTAGAATAAGGTCTTTTACTTCATCTGCCAAAAGTTTGTCATAATTATATAATTCGATTATGTCTAAATTGTGATTTGTACCCCGAAGGCACAAACTAGGCATCCTTTTTTGTTTTGTTTTGCTTGTTTTTTGAGATAGGGTTACTCTAGGTAGCCCTGGCTATCCTGAAAACTCTGTAGACCAGGCTGACCTAGAACTCACAGTGCTGGGATTAAAGGTGTGTGCCATCACCTCCCAGCTGAACGGGGCATCCTTAATCAGTATAAAACTTGTACAGCCATGCATGGTAACTCAGTCTGTAATCACCTGCCTCGCCACAGACACACAGTCACTGTCTCCTACTCAGAAGGGTCCCCTCCTTCCCACCCTGCCCCCCCCAACTAGTTCTGAGCCTTTGTTATTGAGAGGCATGTAGCTCTTTGTCTCCACCCTGAACACATGTGCTCACAGACCAGATGCAGGCAGGTGGGGAAATGTGGGTGCTGGGTGGATATCAAGGCAGTGGGCGCCCAGCAGAACCAACTGCTCTGGAGTGGCGCAGGCCGGGTATGTAGCTGCACACCCACCACTCACTGCTGGCAGCTTCCCAGCTCTATTGCTAGCACCACCATCCTCCCTCCCCCTTTCTGACCCAGTTTCCACATTCCAGAAATAACTCTGGCAGGTGACTGGCAGGCGGGTCAGCAGTGGCTCGGCTGCCACTTGTATACGCCCCTCCCCAGCCAGAGGACACCATGGAGGGGACAAGAGGGCCATGACATGACCCTTTGGTCTGCCTCTGATCCTGCCTCTCCTCTCTTTATGCCTCTGAGAGGAAGCAAGAACAGCGACAGTCTCCCTCCCATCTCTTCCCTCAGCTCCCCCGCCCCAATCCCTGCCTTCTGTTTCTCCCTCAACCCTCTGTTTCTCTTCCTTTCCTTCCTCTCAGCTCTCAGTTTTGGGCTTTCCCCTCCTCCTTTCTGTCTCTTCCCACTCCCTCCGAACAACATCACACAGATTCAGAATCTGAGACACCACAAAGGGACCTCAGCAAGTGGTATGGGGGTGGGGGGAACTACTGTGTGGCATCCTGATCCTGCCAGTTACATTCTCTCCATCTTTAAATGTGAACACGGGGCGGGGGACGGGACAGACACACTGACACCTACCTGTACTTAAGATCATTCTCTGGATAAGTTCCAGTCCAGAAACTGTTCCTGCTCCCTGCCTAGAGGCCCAGAGCTCTTGTTTCAGGGCTGCTGTGTCACTCTGAAAAGGCACCTGTCCCTCTCTGGGCCTCATAATGGTTATCTGCACCCTGGGTGCGAGGAATGGTCTTATCTATGACCATCCAAGTCACAGGTTTCTTTCCCTCTTTTTGTCCCTTCTCCCATCCCTCAGAACTCTTCTGGCTTCTTTGATTCCTTTTCCTTCCCCTGCACATATACATAGGAAGGGAGGCAAACAAAATTTCTCAGTCAAAATTTCACCACTCACCAAGTAGTGGTGGCGGCGGCGGTGGTGGTGGCGCATGCCTTTAATCCAAGCATGCAGGAGGCAGCCAGATCTCTGTGAGTTTGAGGCCATCTTGGTCTACAAAGCAAGTTCTGGGACAGCCAGAGCTGCTATATAGAAAAACCCTGTCTTGAGAACTCAAAAACAAAACCAAAAAAAAAAAAAAAAAAACCAACAACAAAAACCCCTCAGTCTTGTCTCCCAACCTTCTCTACCTCAATCTTTGGTTATTTCACTTTCACTGCAGATCCCTGTCAGCTCAGCCCATCCAGTCCCCAGAGTGTCAGGCAAACATCCTATAATTTGTGTGTTATTTCTAATCCATGGAGCTAAGGATTGAGATTTTATCTGAGTTAAGCAGATTAAGTGTGCCACCATGAATTAATGATGTCTCTTATGGCCAGAGTTACACATTTACACATACCTGCCATTCCTGATTTAATTCAGTTACACACACACACACACACCCTCAAATGGGGGTGAGGTGGCTCACCAAGCTGCTGCAACCTAGAGGAAATGTCATAGTCAAGGTCACTCAGCAAATAGGTCAAGGAGATGCTTCTCAAAGCCTTGAGTTCTTCATTGTGCTGTGGGGTTAGGAAGGAAGCAACCCAAGGACTTGACAAAGAGCAGGAGAATCATTTGGCAGTAGGAGCAAGATTAGAGACTGCCACACTGGTCAGGAAGGGACAGTGGCCCTGTCAGGGTCATAGGGTCGAAGGTGATAGGATTCAGGAGGCCTTCCCCAGAAGAATATCAGAACTTCCTACTGCTAAAATAGGCGCTTCCCCTGCCTGGGTAGAAGACAGACAGGCTTGGGTTCTCCTAGGTTTCTACCATGCCCTTGCCCCAGGCAGTCCTACGTAGCTGAGTGCCTACTGTGTGCTTAGTGCTCACATTATCACTCTTCAGTCCATACCTGAGGCTGAGGAGCAGGCCTCCAACCCAGAATTGAAACTTTTGGGCAAAACAAGAGAGGGGCATCCTGTCACCCTCAGGAGGCAGAGCAGTGCCACAGTTCCCTTTCACTGTGACCAACACCGTGCTAAAATTAATTTAGGGAAGAACAGGTGTATTTCATCTTACCCTTCCATGTTACAGTCCATCATGAAGTGAAATCAGGGCAGGAACTGAAGCAGAGGCTGTGCCGGAGACTGTTTGCTCCATTAATTCTCTCTGGTTGCTCGGCTACCTTTCATCTATAGCACAAGGAGCCCATTGTGGGCTGTTAGATTTCTGCTTATGGCCTAGCAGTTTTTGTTTGTTCCTCTTCCCCATCGTTGGCTGTGTTTCTAAAAGTCTCAGACTCAGAGATTCGCCTAACTCTGCTTCCTGAGGGCTGGGATTAAAGATGTGTGCCACCACAGCCATCTAAGAATCTTAACTGGGCTTTCAGAACTCATTCAGGATCTCGCTGGTTGCCATAGTCCCCCTCCCTCCTTTCCTGGATAAGCTCTCTCTACCCTGGCTCCAGCATTTTTGCATTACACCCCTGGGGGAGAGGGAGGGGATCAGTCAGACCCATGCTGTGAATTTTAAGTATTGATGTAGTTTCAAAACTGAAGCTAGGTGTAGTGATGCGTGCCTTTAATCCCAGCACTTGGGAGGCAGAGGCAGGTGGATCGCTGTGAGTTTGAGCCCAGCCCAGGACAGAACAGCCAAAGCTACATAGAGACCCTGTCTCGAAAAAGCAAAAGGTGGGGGGATGTGGGGAGAGTCCTCACTTTCCTAGCTGCCAGTTTTGGACACCTGGGACAGGACAGCAACTATCTGGAAGGGGAGAACCCGATACCAGAAGTCCAGGCTCCTGCAGGAGGATCTGAGTCCTGCCTGCCAGCCCTACACCTAAGACTTGGGTCCAGCCAACTCCACTTAGCAGGAAGACTAGCCTGACTTGGAGCTCCTGGGCAAGGACCCAGTCTGTATGCAGAAGGTTCCCCATACACACCTTCCAGGAACCTAAAAGATCACCACCAGACGTGTGCTGAAGTTCCTCTAGCACTAAGGTCTCAGACTTTGTGAAGTCCAAATTGAAACTGCCCGTGAGTCCTTTTCAATCCAGTAAGCTGGATTCAGAGGGTCAAAGACTTCATAGAAAGTTCTGTTTCTGCCCCCACTTCTCCCCGGGGGCACATGGGGCCTATGCATCCCCAAAAGAAAAGGGGACTTGCCCAAAGTTATACAAGAAGTGTGTTACTGAGTTGGAAGAGTAGAGGTGAAATAAAGAGATCTCATGGTGGCTTGGCTTGGGGTGTCAGAGCCCACCAAGAACTTACTTTTTTGCCTTTTCCTAAATAAAGCAAATGAGCATGGCCAGCTACTGCTTTTAAAGTGCCTGGCATCAAATGAGCTTGTTGCTCTCTTCATCATTGTCTTAACACAAAAGGAAGACGTCCACTGGAAACAGTGTTATCCTTTTCATTTCTCTTAGCCTTCCAGAAGATCCAGATTCAGTCAGCAGCAAGGATCTGTGCCTGGTTGACCTGGCTTAAGCAATGCCAGGGGCTGCACGAAGGAGGGGACTGAGGGAAGTAGGAATGGGCTCGGATAGGATCGGTCTGCTTCTGTCCCATTTTACAGAGAATGACGCGCGAAGATTGAGCATCTCACCTAAAGGTCACACAGGTGTGATACCGAACCCGTCCTTAGGCTCCTTGGGAGCACAACCAGGGGTGGAAGGGGCAACTAGAAACTGCTAGGCTGCTGAACAGCGAGGACCTGCGTGCAGGGCGAAAAGCCCACAGTAGGCTCCCTCCTTAGCTTCAGTTTCTCAACTCACAGCGAGGAGTCGCCTCCAGGGTGAGCCTGCACCGACACCCGGCCACTCTGCCGGCTGTACAGAGCGCGCGATGCGTTCCAGCTGGAACCGGTTTGACGGGGAGGTCCGAG